ATCAATATTATTCAGACAGGGAAAACCTGGTGACCAAATTTATCAAAGAAAAAATGCCTTTTGAAAGACTTCAAGTTTATAGCAGTCACTTTTAATATTGTTTTGACCAAATCTCTGACAAAAAGAACTTGTGAGAACTCAGTTTATTTTGGCCCACACTTATGTTGTATACAGTCTATCACAGCAGGGAACACACTGCAGCGGGAGCTTTTACTTTCTGTGGTAATAGTAACACTAAGGTGCTTGGGAACATGTCTGTGGGCATGAAGAAGGTTGACAGCATCAACTAGATGGCAGGGTGGGCTAGAAACCCCAAGACCCACCTCCCAGTGACAGACTTCCTGTAGGAGGATCTCACCTCCAAAAGGTTCTGCTTCCTCCCAAAACAGCACCACTACAGGACACCAAGTGTTCAGACACACTAGTCTGTGGGGACATTTCTTGTTGAAGCCATAACAGCAGGATGTGTCCTAGGGAATAGCCAGTAGTGAGAGGGAAAGCAGGTGACAAACACTACCCAGCAGCACAGCCCTTGAAATATGCCACCGCACAAAGGGCATTAAAATAAATAAGTGCTTCAGATGCAGCTCCAGATGCATGCTACAAACATCAAGATCCTACTGACAAGGGGATCATGACCTGGTATAAAGCTGAGGTCACCACAGTCGAAAGAGGCATTTATAGTGTTACAGAGGACGTCTTGAAGAGCTCGTTATTCTGCCAACGTCTGCTTTCATTTGGTCTAAAGCCATCCGATAAATGAAAACCTGGAGACATTAAACCTTTTCAAGTATCTCAGAAGCAAGAAACAAAGGGCACAGTGTCTTCTGAACAGCTCTGAGGATGTAGTAGAGCATTTCAGGCCCATGACCTGGGCAGAGCCTTCTCCCCAAAAGTGATAATACACAGTGCCTACAACAAAGCAGCACCCTTCAATTCCCGCCAGAGACAATTACAACACAGCCCTTGAACACATGCACGTGCAAGGTCACCTTCAAATAAGCCATGAAAATCTGTACAGAAGCCCAAATCTTCCTAAAACAGAGCAGCCTGGGGCCAGAAGAGCCCGGGACCTGAAGAGCTCTCAAGAACCCAAACAGGACAGAGCCTTTTGTGTAGCTAAGTCCAGGATACTCCAAAAGTTTCACAAGACCATAGCAGAACACAGGGGGCTTCATCCATGCCATGTTGCTTTATTTGGTCACAATATTTCTTTTCCAAACACATCATGCCTGAAGTGTGGTTTTGTTGTTGCTGCTTTGAAGATTCATTTGTTTTTATTTTATGTGTATGAGAATTTGCCTACATGGATGTATATATGCCTTGTGAGCCCCTGGGGCCCACAAAGGGAAGAAGGGGGCTCCACATCCCATGGAACTGGAGTTATAGATAGTCATGAACCATCACCTGGGAGCTGGGAACTAAACCTGGGTCCTCAGCCAGTGCATTCAGTGCGCTTAAACATTGAGCCATCTTGCTGGCCCTGTGAGGTGCATTTTTAATGTGTGGTCATCCTGGCTGTTTGCAGAGCTCAACAGACCCATGTCCCTGAAGTCTTGACAAGATATTAATGAGTGTTGATTTTCACTGAAAGAGTATGTGCTATCTGAACCCGCTGTGTATAGAAAGCACAGGGGGTATCAATGCTTTGCCCATACAGGGCAAAGATTTATGCCTTTGCTTTTCTTTACTAAGTCCATATCAAAGATTGGGTGGAAATGCCTGAAATATGAAATTGACAGTACTGTCTGTAAGCAGTCACATACCCCTTATCATTCTCACTAACCCAAGAGCTATTAAGAACCCTAACTAGTACTTAGGGTGTGTTTCTTGACTATGATAGGTTTCCCACCTTGTTTTGTGTACTCTTCATAATTCTAGAGATCAATGAATATATACTGTAGGGGATGCTATAGCCACGCCTGCTTAGGGGCTGGCTATAGGTGTGCCTGACCATGCCTGCGATGATGTGGCCAGGGTGACATAGGGAAGGTTTAAGAGGAGGGACGCTGATGTGGCAGCCCCTTCTTTTGCTTTCATCTTTGGCTTGCTGTACTTACTGCTGCCCCGTTGGCTGGCTAGTTCTCTCTGTAAGTAAAGCTTTTCCCTATTAAATTCTCTTGTATTTTTATCTGGCTCCATATTGGTAATATCCCACATTAATATACTGTAACAAAACTAAGTCTCACTGCGCAGTAGAGGACACAGGTTAAGTGTGACAGGGATGGTGCCCTGGGGATACCCAGAGAGAAGACGCTTGGGGCCTTGAGTGTTGGGAAGCAATGGGGCTGTCATTCTGAATATCCCCAGAGAAAACCCCTGGGCTTTGTAGGAACCAATGTAAAGGATGCTGAATCTTAGGTGAAAGGGGGAAGGGAGGTATTGACATTTCACTGCTCTTCTCTTCACAAGTAGAAAGTACAACACAACAGTGGCCCATTTCCAATGTGACGGTTTAATACTGACTGTCAGCTAGACAGGATGCACTATCACCTAAGAGACAAATTTCAGGCATGGCTGAGAGTTTCTAAACTGGGTTCACTGAGGTGGGAAGACACACCCTAACTATGGGCATTGCACCCAGATTGAACAAAAGGAAGGAAGCAAAATAGCCAGCATCTCTCTCTCTCTCTCTCTCTCTCTCTCTCTCTCTCTCTCTCTCTCTCTCTCCATCTTTCTGCTTCCTGACTGTGAACATAGTGCAGCCAGCTGTCCTAGGCTCCTGTCACCATGCCTTCCCACTACCAACCTTAAGACTACAAGCTGAAATACACCTCCCTCCTTTAAGTTGATTCTTGTCAAGTATCTAACATAAAGCAATGGGATAGGAGTGGAGAAGTTACTGGCCCTCCCCTGTAACAAGAGTGTGGACATGAAACAGGGATGCCCTGGGCAGTGAGCACATTACACCCAGGGCAAAAAAAACAGTAGCAGTGCCATCATGGTGAGTCAGAGAGGAGGGGAGTCACATGCTCTGTCAAATCATCAAAAGGATAATTTTTTGCTAGCTTCTGCAAGCCCATCAGAAATGCCAGCCATTAGCAGGAGCTATGTGGAGTCTCCTCAGTTTGGAGAAGGGCCTGGATACTCACGTAGTGGATACTTGAGTTATCTTCTAGGAAATCAGTTTAATTTCCCATGTCATGTGACCAAGGAAACCTGACTATCACTTGGAGAAAAGGGAAAACTGGGAGGGTCCTTTGTGTGCTGACACTTATTCTCTTCAGTGACACTCATTAGCAAAGGAGTGAGCCAGCTGCAGAGGAGCAGGTGGAAACTCCAGGCCTCTGCTCTCTCCCCACACTGCACCTCACACCTGTGAAGGAAGCCTCCCTAGAGAAGCAAGGAGGGAAGAGTGCATGCTGTGTTTATTCCCATAAAAGTGCTGTAAGAATCAGAGGCAACAGTCTCACCAAGCTTAGAGAAAATTTTGCACTGAAGATTGACACAGCTAAGAAAGGGAGAAAAACACACAATTTAAAAGCAAGCTATATACTTTAGAAGCACAAAAGAAAAGAACTAAGTTTTTAAAAAGCAACCCATAGAAGCAAGGAGGGAGAATGCTGTGGTAGTTTGCATGAGAATGATGAGAATGGCCAGTATAGACTCATATATGAATGTTTGGTTCCCAGTTGGTGGAACTGTTTAGGAAGGATTTGGAGGTGTGGCCTGTGGGAGGAAGTGGATCCTTGAGGGTGAGCTTTGAGGTTTCAAAAACCCATGCTATTCCCAGTTAGCTCTCTCTGCCTCTTTTATGTAGATCAGGATGTAAGCTCTCAGTCACTTCTCCAATGCCATACCTGTCTGCCTGACTTCCACCATGCTTGCTCTAATAATAGTCATGGACTAACCCTCTGAAGCTGTAAGCAAACCCTAATTAAATGCTGTCTTTTATAAGTTGCCTTGGTCATGATGTCTCTTCACAGAAACAGAACAGTGACTAAGACTGAAGTCAGATTGTGAAGAACAGTTACAAGGGGGATCAATAAAATGACTTAGCAGGTAAAGGTAAAGGGCTTGCTGCCAAGCCCAATAACCCGCATTCAGCCTCTGGATCACACAAGTCTTCTACTGACCTCCACATGTGTATCAATGCACACTGTGTGCACTTGTGCATATGCACACATATGATACATAAACATGTGTAGAAATAGAGAAGTTATATGAAATGGGATTATATTTAAGAACTTTGCTGATTGTGGCTCAAAGGCATAAACTTAACCAAACCCATCCAAACCCAGGAATGACCACTGGAAGAGATCAGCAGGTCTCTCATTGCAGATGGGTTTCTGCACAGGGAAAGACAAAGCAAGGTATCCTCATGAAGTAACAGTGACTTTGTAAGAGCCTTGTACTCCATCTATTCAAAACCTTGCTATGACTGTAGTTCAGTAAGCCTTGTTTATAATAAAGGTCTTCCAGGTATCACTGTGATGCAAGATTTTGACAACCCAGTATAGCTGGAACTAGTGCAGAGAAAGTCATGTGCACCCTCTTGCCAGAGGTTGCCACTAGAACTCAAGTATTTGATTTAAGGTTCCAGTCCTCTGGGATAATCTAGAATGTACCCTCTGAAGTAGAAGGAAAGTGCTGTCATCTTACAGATCATACAAAAATAAATAAAGCTAAGCCTTTTGTTAATTTCTGAGCAGTTTTAAATATAAGGAAAATTTACACACAAATCAAGGAAATTCCCCATCTGTTCCATCTCCTCATAGTTGTACTCTTTATTAGCATTTCACACATGAGCCTGAGTTAAGAATTGTTACAACTGATGAACACACCACTGTCACCAGAAGTCCAGGCCTTTAAGATATAATCAGTGAGGAAATGGGAAGTGGGCCATGAAAAGACACAGAAGAAACAAATCCATGCAGCTAAGTGAAACCAGCCAGTCCTTAAAGGCTACAACAGGCTGTATATAACTCACATTTAGATTAGTGACATCTTAGGAAAAGCAAAATGATGGAGTTATTGAAGAGATAGGTAGTTTTCAGTACCTCTGGGTGAGATGGGATGAGCAGGAAGAACACAGGGGCTTGCAGACAGTGAAACATCCTGTATGGTATTCATCATTTAAGTGCTCACATAGCCCTTCCTCTTGGGGGCCAACCCAATGCTCTGCTGAAGCTCTGGCAAACTCTCCCAGGAAACTCCTGACACAGACTCCTGAATCCAGACCCTGTGAAGGACAACCATGTATAGACTGGTTCCTTAGGAAATAGATGTGCTAAGTCCATCTCCATTGTTGGTTTACAACTCCCCTTCATTAATCTAAAAAAAAAAGACACACAGCCATATAGGCAGGAAGCTGAGAGCAGAGGCACCCACACCAGAGAAGGAAGAATGTTATGCTTTCCTTGGATCATTTTGAGACAGTGTTGAACATACATGGTAGGTGAAACACTGAAGCCCCAGACTAAGAAAGTAATAAAGGAGTTCCAGGACAGGTGATTCTAGTTCAGACCATAGTGTGGCCATAGCTGGGGAAGAACAAAAGGGTTCAGGACACCACACACTAATGAAAGAAGTGTACAGGACTGTTAACTGACCAACTGTGAGGAGTGAGATAGAAAGGCATCAGGGATAATTCTGGGATGCTTCTGGCCCTCAGTAGCTGAAATGGGGTGGGGGGGGTGCTTCTTACTTCAAAGACACCTTTGAAGACATGAGAGCCAACCCTCATCCATGCAAAACATCCCAACTGACCTGACTTATCTGGAAAGTGATCAGAGTGGGCAGATCAAATAACACTCCAAGTTCCAAGAAAAGCAATGGAAAATTAGTCCTAGCCAAACACATCCTGGAAAACTTTTCACCTTCAGGGATATGGGGTGGCAGGGGGTTATCTAAGAACTATTAAGGGAAAAATATATTATCTACAAAGGAAGGAAAGGCAGCCTTCTCTCAAGACCTACACATAAGACAGGGAAAGCACATCTAAGCTGACTGATGGGAAATGAATGTGATCCTGGAGCTCTCCCCACAGCCAAGTGATCTTTTATACATGAAACAAAGAACGCATTTCCTCGGTACAAAGACAGACTTTGGAAAATTTTCACACATGCAAATCTGAAAAAAATGACTTGACTACATAAATGTAAATTCAGAATGAGAGATTCAATTCGTAGAATAAGTTAACGGGTTCATTTACCTTCTTGGAAACTCTGACAAGTAAGTGTTCTTGGAGGTAAAACATTCATGGATGACTGCACCGCACAGTGTTACCTTCAAGGGGAGAACAGGAGAAAGTCTCAGTTATAAAAATGAGGATAATGCCACTATGGTGGTGAATCTGTTAGCCATTTGGGATCCAAAATGGCGATCAATGAGAAGCAGACATCAGTGTGTAGCAAATGGATTGTGGAGAGGAGTGGACTGTCAACACACACAGTATTAGGAAGTTATGGGTTTCTGTGGCATGGCAGTGTGGTTATACTTAAAAACATTATATATGTGTTAGAAGAATTTAAACATTCTCACCACAAAGAAAGGATAAAAGTCTACAGGCATGGACATGATAATCACCATAATCACCACCCAGTGTCTCCATGAACTGATCACATTACATCCCATAACTATTGCACATCTGCCAATCAGAAACTATCTTTTTAAAGTTATTATGCTCTAATGTGATGCATTGTTAATGCTATGGGGGTAGTACAGTGTTTGGGATAAAAGAACAACGTAAAATATGACCATACGACAAGTACTATGTAAGAGGCTCCCTCGAAACAAAAGGATTAGAAGAAACACTGATCAGCAGCCTGACAGGACTTCCCAGCCTCTTTCCTCCTTTGCTTTTGTATTTATGTATTTTCCTCATGCACCAATTTTACAACATTAAAAAGAGAATTAAAAATGCTGACACAATAATGTGGAGCCAGAAAGAAGGGTAGACAAAGACAGAGGCAGAGACACACAGAGAGAATGTGCACGGATATCAGATGCATAAATAACAGCAGTTCATGACTCTGAACTAATAGGGCAGAGATGGTGACCAAGGATAACATTGAAGATTAGATTTAAAAACTTGAGTTCTAGAATCTAAACCAGCATCAGATTTCAAGCAAAAAATTGGCAAACATGAACCAATGACAAGACAAATAGTGATAAAATTCTTCAATTCAAAGAATCAAGAGCATTGTGGTTTTTGAAACACACACCAGATGAGAGAGAGAGAGAAGTTGTGTTTTCAAAGCAAACACAAGCTTGATAATCTAATTTGTTTAAAAGAACAAGTTGTATGACCCAAGGATGGCGGCAACTGAGCCGAGCATTCCTGTCATCTATAAGGGAGCACTCACAGAGCCAAGGCTCCTGCCTTGGGCTTTATCTGTGCAAGTCAATGGAGGTGACACCCACCATGTGAGCTTGAGAGCATGCAGACAGGAGGAAAAACATGAAGAACCGTGCATGGAAAGATTGCTGGGTGCCTTATTTTCAGTGATGAATAAGTCCAATTACCTAATTTGGAGAAGTGAAAATATCATGAATGTGGGTGGTCTATGCCTCATAGAAACTAAAAGTAAATACAGCTAAGTGAGGAAGGCTGCTAATGAGTGTAATTAAGTGTATCGTTGATGAAACAAACAGTTTTTTTTTTTTTAAAGATAGGGAAATATCTCATTTCAAATCTACAGATTAAACGAATGATAAACATAGAAATAGTCTGTGGGGGTAAAGGGGAAACAGAAGAGCTAAGGCTCAAAATTATGCATAAAAGCTGCAAAACAAATAGCCCAGATGGAGATCACCCAGGTGGGAAGCTATGGAGACAAGGAGGTGATAATCTTCATGATGAATGGGAAGAAAAGCCTTGCATCTGTAGTAGCAATTTTTCTCATCTCTGTGTCCAAACACCTGAGAGAACCAACTTCAGGGAATGGAGGTTTATGCTGGCTCATATGGTCTCAGACATGTCTGTCACGGTGGGGAGGCACAGCAGCAGGGGCTGGAACAAAGAGCATGGGGCTCTAGTTTACTCACACATTGTACACAGAAGGGAAGAAGCAAGCCAGATCCTGTGACACTTACAAGCTTCAACTCCCCTCTTTTAGCATCCCGTTTCCTTATATCTTACAGGATTCACACCTTCAACATACCATTACAAGCTGGAGATGTATTTAAAACATTAACCTTCATTTCAAATTCAAGCTATAGTAGCATCCAATGAGGCCTCCCAGAACTGAATATGTTTTGCATGTCCATTACCTTGGGATGAAGTTGCTTGGGTTACTGGGAATGACACAGAGGTCACTGAAAGCCACTGGCTGGAATGTCCATGCCTGAGGGACTAAGGAAGTGAGTTAGAAGCCAAACTCTGAGGAATCAAACCTAAAGTAGACTGAGCTCACAGCTGCCCTTTCAGAAGCTTCCGGCTGTGTGCTGTAGACTTCAAAGATTTAATATGCACCCTGTTAGGATTAGTTTACACTGTCAATCTGACATGATGCACATGCCACTGGGAATAATCTCAATTAGGGTTATCTACATGAATCTGACCTGTGGACATATCTGTTAATGTTTGTCTTGATTGTGTTTCCTTCATTGATTTGCTGCCTATTGTGGGTGGCATCATTCCCAAAGCAGGAGAGTTGGACTGCATGGTGTGGAGAGAGGACTGAGCACAAGTAAATACACACATACCACTTTTCTCTGTTCTTGACCATGATGTGATATGAGCAACTGGGCACAAGCTCCTGTCATTGTGACCTCCTGACAGTGATGGACTGAAACCTGGAGTCATTTGGTGAGGTGAGATACAATAAGCCTGGAGTCCCCTAAACTGCTTTGTGTTAGGATACAGAGATGGAACTATGTTGTGTATCTCACTTTAACAAGTCCTACAATTCTTAATAAATGTCTTTTGGACCAGTATCCTGAGAGCCACACTCTAGTCTCCACCTCTGACATAAATCCTCATGGTTCCCTACTGTGATTTGAACCTCCGGTCCCTGAAGGAAGTCAATGACTCCTAGTTACTCTCCAAATCTGAAGGGATATTTCCTAGAGTTTTGTCTAGGGTGGTGAGATTGTCATTTCTAATTTACTATTCTTGAGTGTTCTAAATGTACCATGGTTCCAGCCATAGGGAGGGAGGGAGGAAATGAGGGAGGGTGGGAAGGAGGGAGGGAGGGAGGGAGGAATAAAGAAAATACTATTGGTCTCAAATAACATAGAAACTCAGATAGGGAAAGAGGGCAAGATTTAGTGTTCAAATTGCAAAAGTCAGTGCATACTGACAAGGACATTTGGAAATGAGAGGAGGCAGGTTCTTTCTGATTCCAGAGCTTCTAGTAAAACCTGAACATGGAAACATACATTGAATCCATTCTCTTCGTGGTTCCAGGCCCTGTGGCCAGGTATGGTGTTGAGCACATAGCTGCGGTTTTTAGCACCTCCTGGGTCTCACCCAGCTGAGACCATGTCCCATCCCCCCTCCACCCCAAGTGTATTCATGGCCTGAAAAGCCATGGAAGAAAGAGAACTCCAGACAGGGAAGACCTCTCTTCTCAAAAGGAAGTCAAGCATATGTTGGTGTGATGCTGTAAGATGGATTTCTGTTCAGTAGCGTCGAGAACTTATATTCCATGGTGATATAAACCTACCACCTCGAAGGTTTGACACACTTACAAAAGATCAACCAGTTATTTATCTGAATGGAAACTTTCTTCCTTTTGTGTCACTGAAAAGTATTGTATATTAATGTTGTCTAGAGAGAGAGACAGAGAGAGACAGAGAGAGACAGAGACAGAGAGAGAATATAAAAAGATCCCCATGTACTGCCCCCCACTCTAACAGTGTCAGTGTGCCTCAGGGAAAAGAGAGTCTGTTACCATTTTGATGTAAATTCTTCCAGAATATATTAATGTATTATGACAGGTGTCCATATATCTATATATAAGAAAATAGTTCCACTCTCTGCAGGTGCATGTGTGTGTGTGTGTGTGTGTGTGTGTGTGTGTGTGTGTGTTGCTTAAGCTCTCAGGGTGGAAAACTAGGTTATCTGGAGCTGTATTGTATCTAACTCAAAACCCAATAGACAGCCTCGAGCTACTTCCTGTGAGCCTCATCTTACCTATTTTTCATCCTAGCCTCTCTGGTCTGCTACAATTCCAGTCTTCAGACTGTTTTGAGTCCTGGCACTGCCATACCCATTTTCTTTATTTTTAATATTAAGGAATTCCTTCTAATTTTGTCCTATGGTTGGCAGTCCTCATTACCAAATAATTTATTCTTTAAGTGATATATTAAGAAAACACAAGAAAAACTAACTTCTAAACACTTGGAGATACAAAAACATCAGCGATGTCAAGGCAAAAATAGCAACATAGGTAAGGTGGTAAAAAAACTGTTGAGAGTGGTGAGAAAGGACAGGCAAATAGGGAAACACAAAAGCAGAACAGAGGCTGCCTTTGAATGGAAGAAGACACAAAAGAAAATATAGAGGCATTGAACCCACAGCAGACAAAACAGTAGAATACTAACACATTTCTGCGCAGTACTGAAGGAATGGCAGGTACCAAACTATAAACAGCATAGCAGAGTGTTGCCAGGAGGATTTCTCAGACACTGTAGGTGCCCTGCAGCTGTGGCCATCAGCCTTGCATGCCTTGCCTTCGCCCCACCCCTGCCCGATCCCCATATTCACCCTCGTGTTAATCTCATAGTCACCTTTCCTCTTGTGCTTATGTGTAGCCTCATGTTTGCTCTCCTCCTCACTTCACCCGCTCCTTCAAACCCTCCCTCTGCAAGCAAAGCAAAACACAAACTCAAACCAAAAGGTCTGCATTCTGTAACCCCTGGGCATCAGAGTGAAGCCCCCACCGGAGGAGTGTCTCTGTCCCTTTAGAAGGCATGTTGTACCCATCTTCTGATTATCAGTCACTGTCAGCCAGTGATGCCAGCACCCACTAACCTGTTATTTGGAGCCAACTGCTTCCTTCATCCTCCTGCTCATGAATTGCTATCAGCCAAGGGGCACTCCTTTTAAGGGTGGTCAGGAACCATGTGGCACACAGTAGTAAGGGACAGCCTGCTCTGGCCCACATTCTGCTTGTATCTTCTGATTTATCCTGACACAGAGAACAGCCTAAGCCCCCCACAGTCTATGCAGCGAGCATCCTCCAGCTCTGATTGGATATGACAGAGCTGCTAAGAGCCCACTCCTCCAAGGTGAAGAAGGCATCCCTAGGCAGGGCCTGACACTGTCTGGAGGAGAAAAG